CCTATCCCCTATCACATTCACCCTCGAACTCCCTGCCACCTGGCGTGTTCATCCCCACGTTCCATGCATCAGAATTATCCTCCTATCAGGAGACGGATGTGCATGGCCCGAACTATACTGAACCACCACTGGACCTGATCGACGGGGAAGAACATTACGAAATAGAAGCAATCCTCCAACACAGGGGTACCGGAACGAAACACCAATACCTGGTCTCCTGGGTTGGCTACCCACCCTCTGAACGAACAGTGGATCCCAGAGAAGGAACTGAAGTCCTGCAGCGGAGATACTCAAGGACTATAAGAAGAGACTCAAGCTGACAACAAAGCTCCTCAGTTGTTAACCAGCTACCATCATCTCCATGTCTACCACTTCGTCCAATGCCTCCTCCCTCTCCATCGGATCCACAGCTTCTATTGTCGAACTCATCCACGAGTCCACCATTTCTCTCACGCAGACCCCGGACTCTCAGAAGGCATTCTGGGAGGCTGTTATTCTCGACGCGCAGTATGCGCTTCGACTCGACAGCTTTATTGACCGTACCAAAGACACGGTTCTCCTGGAGATTGTCAACACCTTTCGGGCAGTTGACACTATCGCTTTCACAGCCGGACCACCCGGTATCCGTCCCCCTCACCCGATCACCCGTTACTCCGTCACGAAGGCCAAGAGGTCCCTCTTGAACCTTCTAGCATCCAGAAACTTTGGCGACACAGTCGCCAAGATAGAAGAAGAAATAGCATACAACCAACCGCCTATACAGGCATCCATTGTCGAGCGTACTGCTGAGTGCAGTGCTCCAACTCCCCCTCCTGAATGATCCAACCTCATCCCCACCGACCTCACATCAGAAGAAATCAACAGAATGTTCGCAGAACACGAAGAAGAGCAGTACAGAATGATGACTAGCGACGAGCTTGAAGAACTCCGAGCTGCCATCATCAATGACAAAGTCGTAGCCAACGACCCGTTACCTGCTCCCTACAAAGGGAAGAAGAAGCACGAAGAAGAAAAGTCAAGTAAGGAAACTCACACACCACCTTGGAGAAAGACAAACGAAGAAGATAAACCGAGCTTGGAAGCTCATCTTACCACTCCCCCTCCTGGGTTCACCTCTACCGACGACATACCAATATTATCCATCAGATCACCTATTATGAGGGACGACACCCCTATTCCTGTCCCTCCACCTATGCGCACCCCTTGACGAAGTCGCCGATTGAACACCGAGCGCATCCTTGCGCTTGGATTACCCATCACTCGACATGTACCGGGCCAGGATCCTACCAGGCAACAGTTACTTAATGATACGCACACTAGGACGACCCCACAACCCCACCAGTGCAACTTTAAGTGCAGGGTCTGCCACCGATACGGCCACAAACAGAAACAATGCGAGCAATATTTCTGCCGCATTTGTGGACGGTTCACCCCCTTCTGCCCTTGCCTTCACGGCAAGAAGATCCTTTGTCGAGGAATATCCTCCGAAATGTTCTACACTGACATGCGTCAGTTAGAAGCAGCATACGATCACGATGCTGCACGACTTGAACAAGATAGAGAAGAGAACACGTTAGAGGCCATGGACGCACTCCATGACCTTGACTGCGATCCCTCTTGGTATGACAACATGGATAACTGAACTCGTTGATTTCAGTCCTAGAAACCGGGGTAATGTTACAAGAACATCTAGACGCTTGGGCCCCTACCATTTTTCTCCTCATCCTTCTGGTATCAGCCCTCGCATCATACCCTTACCCCGACCTCACCCTTGTCATCCTTGTCATTCTCACATTCCCTTTCGCTCTCTATCTGTCGCTTCAGCAGAGCCAGTACATCTGGCTGGATCCTTTCGCTGACAAAGCATATCCATGCTCCGTTCCACCACCTGACTGATCCTGTGGACAGTCCCCTTGCCCTTACCGTCCGGACAGTAACCTATGATATGATGCACGACGCATCCCCTTTGCCCTGTTCCCTTTCTTGATCTCTGACTCGGTGCGCAGTCGCACATGCGACTTATAGATAGCTCCGCAGCTGCACGATCGTGCCCCTGCGTGTTTCACTTCTTATTTCGACCTTTGACTCACTTTCTTATCTAGCATGTTCTGCCTTGCCCGTGTCTCAACGCGAATGTGCTTTCCTTTTATGGTTATACCCTTTACCGATTGCCTCCCTTGGTAGTACGAGTTATCACCCACTAATATGTCTCCTGTCCTCTATATAAACTCGCTACCATGTACTATATTCCCTAACTTGAATCTACTTGGTTCTTGACCTCCTACTCTCACCAGAGTGATCCTTTCTGCCTTGCCAGCAGTCTATATTCTATCTTCTTATCTGCTCTTCGCGGATAAGCCTATAGTCTTGATCTTTGCTCATCGATTTCGTCGACAAGCAAAGCCCCTGTTAACTAGTCAGACTTCCGTCCTTCTAATTAACGTCGATCTTACGATTAACCTTCGGGTGTCATAAGCCTTGGCAGATACAGCTCATCGTCTAGCACCCGCTTGACGTAAGCTACCCGATTTGGACATAGGCGTCAAATCTTACTTGCCGAAGCCTCGCCAAGTAAGACCCCTAACCTTGGGCTAGCCCAAGGACGTCCTCGACCGTTGACGACACATGCTCTGTTTGAGCGTCGCCAACAGATACCATCCAAGCCGTAACAGGCTCAGGCCCAGGGCTTGGGCCTGGAAAAACTCGAGCCAGGCCCTCACAAGCCAGCAGTGTAGGCCTGGCTCGGCCTGGCCTAGTGAGGGCTCAGCTTGAGGGCTTGAGGGCCTGAGGCCCAGCCCAGCACATCACTAGAGACTACACACATCTAAACTCCGCTGTGCCAAAATGCAGCCCAAAAACACCAATGTCAAATTGAAGTCTACACTCACCTAAACAGCTGCATGGTCAAGTCCAAACTGCACCAGGCCCAAGAAGAAAAAATACAGAAGGCCTGTGCAAAGTTCAGGACTGATCAGCAAGCTGGGAACACACCAAACATCAGAAGAACAGCAACTTATTATGGTGTTGCTGAGAGCACTCTTTGTGGCCATTTTTGTAGTGCTCATAAGCCTCCTGCTGAGGCCCACAAGCACCAGCAGTTGCTCTCAGAGCATCAAGAGAAAGTTCTCATGGACTGGATTGAGCACCTTGATGCAGCAGGCAACCCAATCACTGTAAATGGACCATCAAACAGAAGTGCTACATACTCTGTTGAAGGACACTGTCAAAGAACTGAATTTACCATTTTCTTGAGTGCCATCCAAATATCAAGCTTGGACAGCCTTCTGGACTTGATCCAAAGCATGGCCAGTGTTTCAACTGAATGACAGTCCAGGATTACTTCAAACTCCTCCATGAGATTATGGAAGAGCATGGGATCCCATGGGAGAATATATATAATATGGATGAGAAAGGATGTCAGTGGGGAGGAGGATGAGGGCATTCCAGAGTTAAATACTTTATGTCACATGGAAAATAGGTACACTACAAGTTTAAAAGTGACAACCTTGAGCTTGTCACCATCATTGAGTGTGTGTGTGGTGATGGCACAAATATCCAGCCAGTATTTGTGTTTTCTGGAAAGGAGCATTCTCCATCATGGTGGACAGTTGATTCTGCAATCAAGTAAGTTGCGAGCATCAGTCAAATTGAGATCAATACTGAGTCAAATATCACAGTACTTACATGTCTCCTAATGGTTGGACTGATGACTTCGTCGGCACACAATGGTTTGAAGAATCATTCCTATCACAGGCCACAACCTGCAATACGTCTGGAAAACCTATTCTCCTCATATTTGATGGCCACAGCTCATACATCACATCACAGATTTGCGAACTTGCACTCAACAACAATACCCACATGTTTTGTCTTCCTCCCCACACCATTCAAAAGTTGCAGCCACTCAATGTCAGATGCTTTGGCCCCCTGCAAAATTCCTGGTGAAAACACTGTGATGAAGTCGTTACTGAGACGGGCACAGTTATACCTAGGAAAGAGTTTGTCAGAGAATATATGGCAGTTTGGAATGAAGTATTTTCATGGCCAGATCTCATTAAGAAAGCATGGGAACGTAGTGGCCTCAATCCCATTAATCCAAGTATATTCAAAGAAGAGGATTATGCACCAAGTTAAGGAACTTCGATTTGTGCACATGTGCCCTCGTCTTTTCCAGTCTCTGAACAGGCCCATCTGTTGAAGAAGAATTTGTGGAAGAATTTGATTTTGATTTTGAGGAGGGCTTGGAGCCAGGTGCAGAATCTGGTGGTGAAAGTGACAGTGAAGGAGAGGACAGTGATGTTGATGACCAATTTGATGCCATCAATATTAATGAGTGGCTTGAAAATTGCTGACGTGAATCAGACACCGCTGTAAAGAGTAGATCTGGGCTGGGCTCTACAGAATGTGAGTCCCTAGTCCTGAGAGATGTGAGTATGCTTCGTCCCAAGAGACAACCTAAAGAACTACCTTGATAATGCAAGGGAAGTCTTATACAGTCAGAGAGTAGACAAGATATTGGAAGTAAACCTCTCTAATGTCTGTCTGGAGTTCCAAGACTATGTCCAAAGTACCTCGGTACTTTTCCGATGTGGCCAAAAGTTGTCTGAAGTAGCGCGATGCCTTCTGAGGTTTGCGAGAGCTGTCTGAGGGTCAATATATGTTGGGATGTCGATGTGTCGAATAACAATATAAGACTTTTGCAAAGTGTCCAAAGTCCGGAAATGACGCTAATCTATCAGAACTCAAGGATAAATGAAGTGCAGAATTGGCAGTGGTCTAGCCAAACAATTGTTCCGAATGAACAAAGATCGATTGCGCAGTTACAATTATACCGAGGTGACTCTACTAATTATGACTCAAAGTATGGGAAGTGAAGTGAAGTATCAGTAGCCAGCGAGTGAGATTATATCCTACTTCTGTGAGAGACCGGAATCCATAGGCGAAACTAGTAGTGAGATAAGCAAGTCCGAACCTATGTAATAAGCCGCGATGTGTACTGTTTATACATATTCTGAGGCTCCCGACAGGATGTTGATGGAATTTATCTGTGTAGCACTAAGACGTAGTCAACATATAATTAGAATAAGGGAAAACGCACAAGCAAAGTCAAAAGGACAAGGATAGGACATGGTATGGTAACTCACGAGGTTCGGATGGGCCTCAGAACACAAGAACTGCCTGCGGAAGGTTTGGACAAGTGCGCATGGCCTTTGGAAGGTCAAGGGAGGTCGGGGAATGGTATGGATGTAGGTGTTGGATTGCCTGGTTCCGAGCCCAGCGCCACGACCATTGTTACACCGCCATCCCATGAGAATTGCTTGCAGCGCGATCAACTTCTCATCCTGCATCTATGCTGCTGATGGGCTCACCTTCACCATCCAATTATAACTCTCTTCTTGCCAAATCCACTTCACCCTCATTCACAAACATAACTTCTTCAGCTTCTCATTCAGTCATTAGCACTGTCAACCAATTCCCTACTTCATACCTCCCTAGCTGGTCTATGCAATACAAACTTAATGCTACAGTAGAGATGAACCAGTGGTTGCTGGAGAAAAACTATTCACTGGCGGCGAGGCTCAACTCCACAGAAGCACACTGTGCACTTGCACTGGACAAGATGGACAGCCTGCAAAAGAAGCTGTTTGCAAGCAAAAAGAAGACAAAAGAAGGCACAATCAATGTTGGAGCAAGGGGACTCACTTCAGCTGCAGGATTGCATGCATGGGAAGCCGAGAAGGCAGCACAAGCTAAAAAGGAAAGGCAGAAGACAGCGGCAGTGCAGTGATGGGAAGCTCAAGAAATGACTGCTCAAGCTGTTCGTGATGCTCATGGCCCAACTACAGCATTCAGCAGCTCTCTCAGTAGTAAATCAAAGGCCAACCTTCTTGAACTTGCCAGTGCTCTGGGAACTTCTCTTGATGGTGCTTGAAACAGCCCTGAGCGTGCTTCAGCAATTCAAGTGCACCTTGATGACCACCCCCAGCTGAAGGATGATCCAAAATTTACTGGCCTTTATGGCCGGGTCCCTTGTGGACAGAAGCGCACACATGCAATTGCCATCAGTGACAGAAATGCGGCACCTGAGGAGCCCCTTCAAGTTGAGTGTCCTGTTGTCTGTCATTGACTGAACGAGTCAGAACATTTGACAACAGGAAGTGGCTTACCAGCATCATCCTCAGGCTCATCCACTACTCCTGTACCAAACTTCGAAGGTCCTTCAACTAGTACAGTTTATTCTGGCACTACACATACCTTGATTCCTCATGGACATGGGCATCCATTCAATCCTCAACATAATCTACATGATGGCACACCTATTACACACTATTATAACTTTTAATATTATTCTTATCATGATTATTTACCTGCACAAGCTCATTATTCAATTGCATCCTAGTACACACAATGTATCATTACCTGTCACATAGTAAGTTCAATAAGCATGCACACTTCACCCTTCAAACAGATTGCTGTGATAGACTTTCGAATGGTGCGGAATCTGAAATGGCACCGCAGCAGACATGTGACATAGTGTGATGAAATGTGCGAACTCTAGGGAAAACCGCACTTTTTTGTGTGGTAAGTCTCCACTGGACTCAACACATCAATTTTAAAAGAAAAAACTAGCGGGCCTTGTACTTTCGATATCAGGCTATCCATCCGTCAAAAAATTATATTTTTATGTGGATGTGTTGTAGAGTTATAGATGTTTTCCCAAAAATGCATGAACTCTAGTGGACATCTAGTAGATTTTGGACAATAATCAGGGGCATTCTACACTGAGATTCAACTTCAATCTCACCTGTGTCATCAGTGCTCAAGTTCAAATAGACTGGTCGACTATGATTTTCCTCTTAATTACACAATTTATCCTAGGACCTATATCCTGAGTTTTTCAAATGTCCCCCGCTGTAATGACCTCTTCTTTGGAGTCAGAATTCACTTTGATCATTGAGGCTTTACATGCATGAGACGTAGGAGGATACAAAAAGAATGGCATTGCAGAGCAAGTAGTACATTCAGGGGACAGGAATGGGAATTATACGCGAGATAAAGCATAGGTGTGTTGGGGATTGTGCATGACAGACTGTAATTGAGTGATAGTAATTGGAGAGTTGATCATCAGGAAAAACATTCCCTGCTAATTTTATCTAATCATAAGTAATTCAAGATAATTAGTGTTTTTAGGAGATTAGATGGATTATGTTACCCCCCTGATAATCTGTTGATAATTGTCAGTCATTCTGATAATTTGAAGGTATTTGGAAGAATGTCTGTCCTATTGTCTTAAGATGCTCAAGAGATTATGGTTGGTTCTGGTCAAAACCAGGCTAGTATTACACCTGTCAGTGGGGGAAGGATATATTTAACTGGCTTGTTAGCCATAAACCCCCATACATCTTTCTGTTTAGCTATCCATGCATAGGTACATCCTTCCTGTGCAATTATCCATTGGAGGCTGCACCGGTGTGAAGAGTAAATCTAGGCTGGCCTCTACAGAATGTGAGTCCCAAGTCCTGAGAGATGCAAGTGTGCTTCGTCCCAAGAGACAACCTAAAAACTACCTTGATAAAAATGCAAGGGAAGTCTTATACAGTCAGAGAGTAGACAATTAATTGAGAAGTAAACCTCTAATGTTCATCTGAAGTTCTGAGACTACATCTGAAGCTGCAAAAGTAATGTCTGGAGTAGTGCAATGCCTTCCAAAGGTTGTGAGAGCTGTCTGAAGGTCAGAATGTGTCGGTGTGTCAATGTGTCAGTATGTTGGTGTGTCGAATAGTATAAGACTTTGCAAAATGGAAATGTCTGAAGTTTGGAACCACACTAATCTACCAGAACTCAAGAATAAATGAGGTGCAGAACTAGCAGCAGTCTAGCCAAACAATCATTCTGAATGAACAAAAGATCGATTGCGCAGTTACAAATATACCAAGGTGACTCTACTAACTATGACTCGAAGTATGGGAAGTGAAGTGAAGTACCTGTAGTAAGTGAGTGAGATTATATCCTACTTCTGTGAGGGACCAGAATGCATAGGCAAAACTAGTAGTGAAATAAGCAAGTCCGAACCTATGTAATAAGCCGCAAGGCAAGCAGCAATGCAAGTATACAGGTAATAAGCTGCAAGGCATACCGTTTATACGTATTCCAAGATTCCCAACAGGACACTGATGGAATTTATCCATGGTAGCACTAAGACATAATCAACATATAGATAGAATAAGGGAAAACACACCAGCAAAGTCAAAAGGACGAGGATAGGACATGGTATGGTAATCCGCGAGGTTCAGACAGGCCTCGAAATGCAAGGACTGCCTGTGGACAGTTTGGACAAGTGCATGTGACCTTCAGAAGTATAAGGGAGGTTGAGGAATGTTATGACACAAGTGTTAGAAAGGTTGGTTCCGAGCCCAGTGCCGCGACCATTGTTACACCAGGCAAGGTAAGTATTTGTCCGCTTCCATCAACAATCACCATGAATCACTGAGTAGATCTAAGGTACTTAGCACTGGGTCAAACAAAGGTCAAGCTTTCTATAGTTCATAACTCAGGTACCAACGAAAGAAGTTGTAGTATTAGTAGTCTATCAACAATATTAATAATGATCATCGTGTACTAAATCTTCTTGAGGAGGGATATCAAGGCACAGATGTTTGTCCTTGTTGTCACCCATCATGTCGATACCCATCCCAGTGGCCACCAATGCTGGAACATCCTTCCACTTCTCTTTGAATGATGCTGACAGCCTGCATTGAATAAATGCCTGCTGCTTCACGTATGCAATTAAACCCTCAGTCTCCTCTGACCTAGCCAGGGTTTGCAAACTGGTACAGTCCTCCCACCATTGCACCTGCCAGTCAAAAAAGGTGAAAACTTGCCGCATCTCTTCCACCAAAAGTTGAACTTTCTTGGATCAACAGTTTTGACGTGCCCTGGCCTTGCACCACTCAACACAAAGCGCTGTAATTCAAAATTAGCTATGAGCATATTTAGATGACAGCAGACTTACTGTCTTGCAAACTTTCAGCATTGTCATTAGAGATTCCATGCATCAACCAGATCCAGAACATGATGGTTGTGCCTTGTGTTTGCCCTGCAAAGTCTCCCATAGGACGGAGGTGAGATCTTATGAGCAGCTGTAGTTTTCATTCCCAGCCAATGTGGTCAAGGTGCTTGGATAGAGCAACAAGTGCCTTTTGTCCATGTGAGTATTTTGCATGGCTCATGACCAGACATTCTTCCACAGTGTTGAGTGTTTTCCTTGCATGAGTGTTGGGATTCTGACCATGTATGTGATGTTTTTTGAATTGCGCTAGCTGCCGATGAAGGTGAATATGAGTGTGACACTAGTTGAGTGCATCATGAGCTTGTGTGAGCCAGAGAGACCATTCACATATTACAGTGACATATCTCCATATTATATGGGTCACCCGACCTACATAATATTCCATATAAGATGGGCCAGTGGATGATGGGCCAATGTGATGTATATCCTCGATGTTGACGGATGGGCTGGGAGGAATATTATTTCTGATGGAGGCGGGTGGGCCCATGTGGGGAATATGTGGAGTAGATGAGTGGGCCAATAGACATGAATATTCTATAGACGGATGGGCTGATGTAGAAAGCTAATTCCTGCTGGGCTCAGCAGAAATCATACTACCTAGACAACAAATATTTAGGTAGATCTTAGCATGACCTATGCTGCTATACTTGCAGATCAAGTGCATTCGATCCTAAAGGGATTGCTAATTGGTATTAGTAGTAAAAATGTGTCAGTAATGCAAATAACAAAATGTCCGATGGTGCGAAACGATGTCCGAAGGTACTTATCCAATGTCTGAAGCCAAAGTGCGATGTCCGAGATTTCGGACTTTTGGACTTCACAATAATGAATCAGAAACTTTATAACGAGTGTCGGGTTGTGAGCGGTATGCGCGAGTATAACGAGTGACAGAGTATGATGGTGAACGAATGGTAATATTTAGCAATGCAACTAAGAACTACTGAGAATATTCTGGGTGATCCGCAGAGTCGGGAAACTGCTCCTAACTACTGGATGATGATTGCTATGGGTCACTACAGAGTATTTAAGTAAGTATGTAGAAATTCGGAAAACTACAGGCGAAGATAGTAGCGATATATTTTGGGTCCGATGTCCTATGTAATAAGACACGAGGTGCTGCAGACATGTAATAACGCGGTACAAATGTCGGAAAACGTGCACGGGAATAACTACGCACCTAGTGAGGCTAGTTCGGATGGACAGGACACGGGATGGACAAGTGCGCGCGAAGTGCGATTGGCCGATGCGATGTCCGAAGGTCCGATGTGCCGGATCCGATACAGAGTGGCTCAGACATGTGCGAAAGTGCATCGGACATGTGCACATATGTTTCGGGTGTTGACATGAGTATGGAAATACGTGGTTTCGAGCCCAATGCCGCGACCATCGCTACACCGAGGTAGTTGGATATTATGTAGATGGGTGTACCAAGGTAGGTAGGTATCAGATAAATGGGTATGCTGAGGGTACTTGTTATTACATACACGGGTGGGCCCAGATGGAATGAAGTTAATGAGATTGAAGTGCTGGAGCGAAATACTTTGATTTTGATGAGTCAGATCGAGTTGAACATTTTCTAGATGAAGTTGAGGTGGTGAGTCACATGGGGAGAATGACAGATGGGACAAAGAATAGCCTGGAAAAACAAGTGCATGGGGAGGATGGTGCATCTAGGAGAAAGAAAAAAAAACAGCTTGAACATAGCAATCTGCCAAGTTGTGATAATATTGGAGCTTTTGATTTCCTGTCATAGTTGTCCCACACTCAGTGAAGGCATCAGCAGCCACCTTGAAAGCTCTTTTTGGTTGTCAAATGAGGCCACTCTGACACTAGAACATGCGACTTCTTGCAGTTGATATGCTTCACAGACCTTTACTTCACAATAAAGGTTAGCATGTTTGAATCAGTGGATAGCCTGTGAGTAGCACTTGTGCAAGAATAGTGAGCACCTGAAGAACACCCATTCTTCTGGAGTTGAGGAGACAGCTAGATGGGGGACATCGGTGCTGGTGGGAGAAGTCAAAAAGGAGCCCCTTCAGTGACAAATTCTGTATTATACGGGTCACCCGACCTACATAATATCCCGTATAAGATGGGCCAGCGGACTATGGGCCGATGTTATGTATATCCCCGATGTTGACGGATGGGCCAGGAGGGATATTATTTCCGATGGAGATGGGTGGGCCCATATATGCTGATATTATATATATCCTTGAAGATGTTGGGTGGGCCGATGTGACGGTTTATTGCATAGATGGGTGGGCCGATGTACAGGAATTATTTTGTACACGGATGGGCCGAGGGAGTGGTGGAATATTCATTATGTAGACGGGTGGGCTGATGGAGGGGGATGTTATATAGACGGGTGGGCTGATGGAGGGGGATGTTATATAGACGGGTGGGCCGAGGTAGTGAGATATCTGTCTGACATTCATGGATTACTGAGTCCCAGATGCCCAAAAACCGAATCCCATTGTGCAACATCCATTCTGGACACCCGAACACCCCAAGCTCAAGACTGGAAACTGGAAACTCGGGAAAATGTGTGAAATTTCTATTTCCTTACACCAAACACATGAACACCTGAACACCCAAAGCCTGAAGCTTGAAAGTCCATTTATCAAATCATTGAGTGCCGAGTGCTGATAGACCCGAAGCCTGAGTCCCAAAATCCGAAGCCTGGAACCCAAAAACATGTATGCAAAATATCGATTTTTCATTCATTGCACAAATCACCAAGTAACAAGTGCTGAGGGCCAAACCCCAAAGTCCGAAACCTGAAAACATGTATATAACATATCCATTTTTCAGTCATTGCACAAATCACCGAGTGTCAAGTGCCAAAACCCAAAACTTGAAACCTGGTATGCAACATGCCCATTTTTCATTTACATTAAACAAATCATCGAATGCCAAGTGCTGAGGCCTGAAACCCGAAAATATATATACAACATATCCATATTTCCCTCACTGCACAAATCACCGATTGTCGAGTCCAAAACCTGAAACTCGACACCTGGTACACAAATCACCAAGTGCTGAGTGCCGAGGCCCGAGCCCCGACGTCCGAAGCCCGAAACCCGAAGCATGAAACCCAAAAATATGTATATAACATATCCATATTTCCCTCACTGCACAAATCACCGAGTGTCGTCTTTTGAGGGTCACCTAGTATTCATGTCCATGCATGATTCCCACATCATGCAGGACATCGGAACTTGGTACTCGATAGTTGGGACTCAGTACTTGATAGTCAGGAGTCGGTACTCAGTACTTGATAGTTGGAACTCAATATTTGGAACTCAGTACTCGATAGTTGGGACTCAGTACTTGATAGTTGGGACTTGATATTTGGAACTCAATAGCTAGGACTTGATACTCAATGTAACCTAAGTGTTTGTTCTCGAAAAAGAAACCATGGCAGCATGCATAAAAATAGAGCAAATCAGCAACAAACACTCTAGAGTCAATTATTATGTCATTATAAATTATGACAATTGCAGGGGGTAGAACAGCAGAGCTTTCTAGTAAATCCTGCACAGTATTACAACTGTGTCCAAGTTACCACTATATGTCAATGGAAGGGGTTGAATGGCAGAGCATCCTGGTAAGTCCTACACAGTATCACAACAGAGTCCAGGTTACCACTACACTATCTGGTGATTGGTATACAAAGAGCTAAAAGGTACATGTGTGCTTAAAAGTACTCAATTGTGAAAATGGTAGTCATGGCTCCACAATTCAAAGATCATACACTTCTGAGGCAATGTAAGTAATATTTTACCATCATAATTTGGCTGAAGGCCAAAATCCGAAGCCTGAAGCCCAAAGCCCAAAGCCCAAAGCCCAAAACCTGAAAACATGTATACAAGATACCTATTTTTCACTTATTGCACAAATCACCAAGTACTGAGTGCTGAGGGCTGAACCCTGAAGTATCACCGAGTGTTGAGTGCCAAAACCTGAAACTTGAGACCTGGTACACAAATCACCAAGTGTTGAGTGCCGAGTGCTGAGGCCTGAAACCCGTAACCTGATGTTCGAAGCCCGAAACCCGAAAATATGTATACAACATATCAATATTTACATATCCATATTTCCCTCATTGCACAAATCATGGAGTGTCGAGTACCGAAACCCGAAACTTGACACCCGGTACACAAATCACCAAGTGCTGAGTGCTGAGGCCTGAGCTGCAATGTCTGAGGCCTGAAACCTGATGTCCGAAGCCCAAAAGCTGAAGCCTGAAACCTGATAATATGTATGCAACATATCCATTTTTCCCTCATTGCACAACTCACTGAGTGTTGAGTACCAAAACCCAAAACTTGAGACCCGGTACACAAATAACCAAATGCAGAGTGCCAAGTGCCAAGGCCTGAAACCTGACATCTGAAGCCCAAATTCCGAAGCCCAAAACCCAAAAACTTGTATGCAATATTTCCATTTTTACTCATTGCACAAATCACTGAGTGTTGAGTGCCAAAACCTGAAACTCGAAACCCAGTGTGCAACATGTCCATTTTTCACTCATTGCATAAAACACCAAGTGTCAAATGCTGAAACCTGGTGTGCAACATGCCCATTTTTCATTTACATTAAACAAATCATTGAGTGCCGAGTGCTGAGGCCCGAAACCCAAAAACATGTATGCAACATGTCCATTTTTCATTTATGGCACAAATCACTGAGTGTCGAGTGCTGAAACACAATACCCAGTGCTACAAATGGACATGAATTCTGTATTTGTATGTATTATCCATTGATGTAGGGTTCAAACAACTTGGGGATTGTATTGACTACTGAGTGTCGGTACTTCAGACTCAGGACTTGCTAGCCAATATAGGCAAAGATAATAAAAAAATGGAAGTTGTTATCCGAGTCTAGGTGAGTGTTTTGGTAGTCTTTTCTTGTCCATCAATTATCATTTGACCAAGATATAAGCTAAAGAAATCCGAAACATCAGCGAGAATGAAAAATGAAAGTTGTAGTCCAAGTCAAGGTGAGTGTATTGGTAGTCTTTTCTTGTCAATTGGTTATTTCATTACTCGGTACTCGGTACTCAGTACTTGGTTCTGATATTCGGTACCTGGTGTAATGATAGTCACAGTGTTGGGCTCAAAACCCGTGTTTTTGATACTCATGTTAAACAGTATTTGTCCGACGCATCCCTGACATTCTGATCCTGATCCCAACGCCCGACCCTGACCCAAAAGTTTTGGACCCAACATTTTTGCATCGGACTCATCCTTCCTATGTCCTGTCTAGTTGTATCTATCCCCACTGGTGCGTATTTACTCGTTTTCGCATTATTGAATATTACAGACTGTGTTATTACATGTAAGCATAGACCATTTGTCACGAGTACCTTTAACAAATCACTATTCTTTCTTAAATCTTCCTAAGCGCCCATACACAGCGCCTAAGTCTAACCCTAACCCTACCCTGAAAACATCTATCATTCCCGAAATACCTTTAGCGCCCACGACACGTGTCTTCAATGTAACTGATGAAGAAGACGAGTTCTTTGATTGTGATTAGATTAGATTAGATAAGATAAGATAAGATAAGGTCATGTGATACTTCTGTAATATTCTATGATGTTCTATGGTACGATTCCCTTTCCTATTTTATGATTGGCTAGTAGTTGTAGCTCAGTTTCAATCTCCGTCTCAATAGTTGTATATAGGTAGCATGTCTTGGTTGATAGTTCTTTAGTTCAAACCTCTTGTATCTACACCGTAGCAATCCAAGACGTACCTGCTCTTCTTTTCATTGTTGTGATAACCTTAGTCTGAGTCCTAGTCTCCGCCCAGCGTTAATTCGTTATTGGGTTGTGACACCATTGCACTTTTGACATTTTTCACGATTTTCAGTCTCTTGCCCTTGCATCCATGATCCAACCTTTTAATATATAATGAGCATAGCTTATATTACTGCCTCTTATGACCAAGATCAGCTCACAATAGGCTGGAGTTTGTGAGCTAGTGTGCATACTTGCCATTTCTCCTGATAAGGGGCCCATACCTTCAAAACATTGAATCTTCATGATCAGAAACCTAGAGTACATTTAAAATATATTAAGTATCATAGACATGAATTTACAGACAAATCCACCAAGAATTGAGTACTGAGGAAGTGAAATAGATAAGAAATGGAGTGTGGGAAACTTCAAAGACCCAAAGCATCGAAAATGGTCAGTGAAGCAATAATAGGACTTTAATGCTGAGTCAACTCATGTTTTCACTATATCCCTTCCACCCACCCCCTACCCTCAAGGCAGTAGGCAGTATGGGCTCCTTAGGTAGTTTACAATCTATCCTACATATTTTTAATGAAATCTTTGCCTGAATCATCTATAAATGTGACTTTGTAAAAATATGTCTATTGTCACATTTCATGCATATGCCTGTCATTACATCAATCCTTCATGGATCTTTCTAAACTATTAGGGCTATTATAATGGACATATATGGGTGTTATTCCAGGTCTCTGATCCCATCACAGGCTTGTCATGTTGGATATCTCAACATAATGTGCAAGTCTCACTATTAATATTCATTCTTTTATCTTTATGCTCACTTACTGCACACATGTACAAATGCATGCCTCATCTTTACATCATTGCTAACATGCCAGACAAATATATAATCCTCATACCTGCATCATCCTACCTCAGTCTATTTGTTCTCAGACTGAGGTATGACTATACATTCATTATCATACTCGACACTGACTAACATTTAATGTAGTCTTCAAATAATTCCCAATTGACAAGAATGACATGAGTATGAAAATCAGTGGTTCCGAGCCCAGCACCGCAACCATCACTACACTGAGTACCAATACTTGGTAGGACCACCAATACACTCGCATAGACTCGGACTACAACCTTCATTAAGAAAGTTAAGCATAATAATAATTTTCATTTTTTCATTATCATTTTCCTATATTGACTAGCAAGTCCTGAGTCCCAACACTTGGTAGTCAATACAATTCCCAAGTTATTTGAACCCTACATCAATGGATAATACATACAAATACAGAATTCATGTCCAGTTGTAGTCACATGTACTGGGTGTTGAGTTTCGGGTTTTGGTACTCGACACTCGGTGATTTGTGCAGTGAGGGAAATATGGATATGTTGTATACATATCTTTGGGTTTCAGGCTTTGGATGTCGGGCCTCGGCACTCAGCACTTGGTGATTTGTGTACCAGGTCTCAAGTTTCGGGTTTTGGCACTCGACACTCAGTGATTTGTGCAATGAGTGAAATATTGATATGTTATATACATATTTTTGGGTTTCAGGGTTCGGGCTTTGGGCTTCCAACATCGGGTTTTGGGCCTTGGCACTTGGCACTCAACACTTGGTGATTTGTGTACTGGGTGTTGAGTTTTGGGTTTTGGCACTCGACACTCATTGATTTGTGCAATGAGTGAAATATGGATATGTTGTATACATATCTTTGGGTTTCAGGCTTTGGACATTGGGGCTCGAGCCTCGGCACTCGGCACTTGGTGATTTGTGTACCAGGTGTTGAGTTTTGGGTTTCGGTACTTGACACTCGGTGATTGGTGCAGTGAGGGAAATATGGATATGTTGGATACATATTTTTGGGTTTCAGGCTTTGGGTTTCAGGCTTCAGACATCAGGCTTTGGACATCGGGCCTCAAGACTCAGCACTCGGCACTCGACACTCGGCACTTGGTGATTTGTGTACCGGGTGTCAAGTTTCGGGTTTCGGTACTCGACACTCCATGATTTGTGCAATGAGGGAAATATGGATATGTAAATATTGATATGTTGTATACATATTTTCGGGTTTCGGGCTTCGAACATCAGGTTACGGGTTTCAGGCCTCAGCACTCGGCACTCAACACTTGGTGATTTGTGTACCAGGTCTCAAGTTTCAGGTTTTGGCACTCAACACTCGGTGATACTTCAGGGTTCAGCCCTCAGCACTCAGTACTTGGTGATTTGTGCAATAAGTGAAAAATAGGTATCTTGTATACATGTTTTCAGGTTTTGGGCTTTGGGCTTTGGGCTTTGGGCTTCAGGCTTCGGATTTTGGCCTTCAGCCAAATTATGATGGTAAAATATTACTTACATTGCCTCAGAAGTGTATGATCTTTGAATTGTGGAGCCATGACTACCATTTTCACAATTGAGTACTTTTAAGCACACATGTACCTTTTAGCTCTTTGTATACCAATCACCAGATAGTGTAGTGGTAACCTGGACTCTGTTGTGATACTGTGTAGGACTTACCAGGATGCTCTGCCATTCAACCCCTTCCATTGACATATAGTGGTAACTTGGACACAGTTGTAATACTGTGCAGGATTTACTAGAAAGCTCTGCTGTTCTACCCCCTGCAATTGTCATAATTTATAATGACATAATAATTGACTCTAGAGTGTTTGTTGCTGATTTGCTCTATTTTTATGCATGCTGCCATGGTTTCTTTTTCGAGAACAAACACTTAGGTTACATTGAGTATCAAGTCCTAGCTATTGAGTTCCAAATATCAAGTCCCAACTATCAAGTACTGAGTCCCAACTATCGAGTACTGAGTTCCGATGTCCTGCATGATGTGGGAATCATGCATGGACATGAATACTAGGTGACCCTCAAAAGACAAAGTCTGTTAGCTTAGTCCTCAGACTAGTCAACCCATACCTTGGTTCCAAACCATGGTCCATATTTCCAGTTTTCCCCAAGTTTCACGATCTGAATATGTTTTGACGGAAAAAGTCTAATGTGAGATGAGAATCACATTTAGACCTAGTTGATGTGAGAAGAGAAATGAAGGTTAAGGTATAGCCTTGCCTTTGGCTTATTCACTTTGGCTAGAGAAAACCATAGAGAAAAGTACAAAGCTTATGAAAAACCTATCAAAAAAGACCATGTTTCAATTCCTGCCAACTGTCTTATTTTGCTACCTACTTTTCTCTAGTGTTTCTTTACTTTACTTTTTTATTAGGATGTTTTGACTCACCTAACACTTCATAAAATTGTACCCATAGGGTATGATGTCATTATGATGTCATAAGACTCCACAGATACTCCTGCAGCAGGCTCCTTCCCAACCACTGCTTCAAGTGTGGAGGGGCTACATCCGAGGTCACATGATACAACAAAATTTCAAACCCAGGATAACCTTATTCCCCTCACACTCTCAGCAGCGGCTGGAAGATAACATTTGTAAACAACGTCAGCCACAGCGGCTGAACCAGCAGAACGCGAAATTTATTCATGTAGAACGAACTTAGGGTTAGAAAGATGCAGGTATTTTTATATTAGAAAATTCGTGCTACATAGACGTAGCAACACACATTGGCCATTAATGGCTTCGGCCGCTCCTATTTCATCACTCACAATCAGTTTGGATATTCCTTCCTTAGGTCAGATTTGGTCTGTCACGCAGCAAAAATTTGGAGTCAGACCGTGTTTATGGCAAGTGAAGGTCACACAAGTGCTGCTAAAAGGAGACCATGATGTGCTCTGTACTGCAGGCACAGGAAGTCCCTATCATTATTACATCCACAACACTCACCAAACACATAGTCTCTAATGTGGTATGCCTCCTTCACATGCGGGCTGACAAGTTGACGACTATCCGGTGTTCTATGGATAGACCAAATATTAAGCTTGGAGTCAAAAAAATAATTCACGCACTTCACAGCTACGCTGATTTAGCGTTCTTGATACCAGCTGGGTAGAAACGAGGCGATCAGCCACCTCCTAAATTCCTCATTTTCTTCGACAACATACAGGATGCCATCAATGCCGCTCGTTTGCTTCGCAAGTGTCTGCCTTCTGAGTTCCGCAACAAAATTAAATGGTTCAATTCAGACATGTCGAGTACTTACAAGGATGCTGAGCTTGGGAACACTGTATTGGGAGAAACATGGGGGTTCTGTACAACCGACTCATTTGGAATGGTAAGACACAAAAAGCTTAAAACAAACAATAACTTACTGACAGCTTAAAGGGTATGGACGTTCCGGATATCGAGATCATCATCCAATGGCGGGCAACGTGCCACCTTGCCACATTATGGCAACGTTTGGGGTGCGCTGCACGAAACAAACAGTTGATGGGCACAGGGTTGCTCTTTACTGAGAAAGAGCACTTTGATGACAAGCGGGAGGCTCGGGCCATCAGAAAAACACAACATGAGAACACTCGCAAATGCAAAGCAGCAGACTTACTGGAGGCACGAAACAATAAGTGTCGCACAGTTGCTCTCTCAGAACTACCCGCCAATGTCTCCCCATCAGCTCCATCCTCTTGAGTCGTCAATGACGAAGATTACAATATCGAGCTTGACGACACTATTATACAAAGCGTGAATAGTTTGCAGGAATCGAAAGATGTAATGGCAAATGCTCACCATGTAACCAGAGCCAAAAAGAGGAAGAAGAGGGAATTGGATCCTGGTGTGGATTACCTTATTAATGCCGATAAACGTACAGGATTGACGTGTAGAAGGAAGGTCTTTAATGTGTGCTTTGATAATGAAGCAGCTGGTGAGAAATTTCTATTCAATGGAAAGGGACCGCACTCACACCCTCTCAGACTTTGACCACCTCGATTGTGACCCAGACCATATCTTAGGCTGCTCATGCTGCATGGTTTCACAGCCCATGATTTGTTGTGACATTCACCATCCTGACCACTTTTCTACCTACTCCTCCCCAACTGATGAACTCTCTGCCACAACCCAGTGTTCCTGCATTCCCAAGTACAAACAAGAACCATCTGACCTTGCGCTGTTGGACACCCTTTATGATTGGTGTGAGGAGAAGACCATATCAACATACGGCTGGGCTCATCTCAGTGACCTCGGCCCTTCCATTGTCCTACCCAACTCCATGCTAGATCGCATCATTGACTGCGCACATCATCGCAAAATTCACAGCATGCTCGAGCTGAAGAAGGAGACAGGGTGGACGGATGTGGATAGGTTTGGAAATGAGGTCATATTACTTATTCAAATGCTTGCACCACCTGGTGCAAGCCCTTTTGCTATGACTCCTCTAAGCTGCACACCCAGCGCCATCAACACCAATGTACCACCTCCAACACCATCCACACCATCTCCTTGTCTTGCTACAACTTCCAATACTCCTAAGTGCAAGAACAAGTGTAGCGCCTGCGGTCAAGAGGGCCACAATGGTGAGTGTCTCACTGTTTGCATTCAAATTCTTTAAAATACTCATTTGTCAATAGCACGCAATTGTGTTTGTCCAAGCCACCCGTCTCATGCTGGACCGAACAAAGAAAATAACAATGCATCCCGCTTAAACCAGCTCAACTAATACATCGTCTAAATCGGCTGTACCCTCTCCTGCATCCATACCCTCTTCTTCCTCGTCTATCTCGCCTCATGCTGCTTTTTCCATCATCTCCCTTTCTTTGTCAATCAAGTCAAGAATCAGAAACTGACTTTTCCTGCTGGGTGTTAGGATGTGTGGGGATTGTTTGGTGAGCTGAATAGATAGTAATTCAAATGTTTTCCTCATGTTTGGTCCAGTGTGTTTTGCTGTGAGGTGCGCAAGTAGAAAATTCTTTTGTATCATTGTCTGAGCATTCCGGTATGCATGTACCAGTGGGGACTCGAGGAAAATGCGCTCGACGGTGTGGTTGGGTCCCTTGCCACCATTTTTGACCTTTGTAAACAGATTGTTCAATTCAACACACCAGTCGACAGCATGCCAACTCGTTTCCTTGCCGGTGGAATTAACAAGAATATGGTAATGTATTGCACATCTAGTGCCACATGAGATCAGTACCATGTGTTGAACAGTGTGTTGACAAACTGGTTGACAAACGTACCGGAGTCCAGGCGGATATACAAAGTGAAGATTAATGAGGAAATTCGACATGTGCGTGGCATACTTGTGCTTGCCCGTCACCTTGAGTATAGGGATCCATGCAACTATGCATGTTTCGGTGCATCCAATGTCCCCATGGTTCATTGCATATGATAATTCCTCGTAAAGCAGGAAGTATTTGTTCATCAAGAGCGAGTTTTTGAATTGGACATCTTGCTCCTCCTCTGGCCTTCGACGAATGCACTGGAGCTTATAATTTGCTACGTAAGTCTGTGCCAATTCATCTGCCATTTTTATCAACTCATTCAGGACAGGTTTAGATGCTGCGAACTCCTTGAGGCTGCTATAAGCGGGAGACTTGTTTTTCACATGGATCCGCCAGCAATCGAGCCAACAACAGGTGCTGGAACTGCTGATGAGTACATGCATCCGTCGAAATCCTGGTTTGGAACAGTAGATTCCAGTCTCCCTGGGTCGAAGTTGCGTGATGTCTCGCATAAGACTAGTATTGTCTTCTCTTGCTGATAATGGTTGCAGGAAACACCGCCAGATCACATCAGCACATGCCATCTTCAAATGGAAAAGACCAGGAATGAAAATAATGTGTTGCAACCGGTCCCATGGGGTAGCCTCGATGGAGCGCCATATTTGTGCCGCTTGAAGATGTTCACCTGTTCCAAGGTCTCCGTGAATTAGAACTATGTGCTGGGAGATATCTGGTGACTCTAATTCAGAGCCAACCAGATCATAAATTCCTCCCTGCGCTAGAAGTTCTGTGACCGCACGTATGTTCCCACTAACAGTTGAATTATTGATATCCATTGCCCAAGCAGCTGTGATTGATGTTTTGTGTAAGGGAATTTCTTTGATAACTTCAGGTGGGGGTATCTCCGACTTGAAGAGGTGGAAATACTCTGGTCCGTGAATGCATAGATCCATCAAGAATAACCATGCATTGAAACGGTCGCGTCTTGTTAGGTTTCGGGTGACTTCGGACTCAGAGTGGATGGATAGAAGATCCTTCCAAGTTCTACGGGGAGGTAAGTCCTGTTCTATTGCTTGAGTATTCAAAGCTGACTGCCTCCAGAGCTCTTCGGAGCAATTCAAATCACCAATAGTGATACCATGTTGCAGTGGAAACATCAGGCCGGAGGTAAGGTGTTTCAGTGAATTGTTTGATTTTTCCGTGACAGGAAGGTGAGATTTGAGGTCAACATCAAAATTGTCATAGGCATATGACACGAGGAGACTTTGACCAAGTTCTCGCATCGCATTTTGTGATTCGGCTGACATAGATTTCACTGCAGCATGAATGGTGTCTGTGGATATTGATATTCCAATGCGAGCGAGAGTGTCGACGACATTTTGCGGTGTGTGCATTGACTGCAAGAAGATCCCGATGATGCTCTGTAATGCATTGGATTTCCGGTTCATACTCTGCATCATGATACTCAAAATCACAACCTTTTTCTGATCTAATTAATATCTAAGACATTGACATGCGAGCAAGGCATTATACTGACAATGTTACATATAGTGGCATGTCTATTTGTGTGAATATCTCGCTTCGAGGCCACTGTATCCCCTTCAGAGGTGAGTGCATTGATGAACCCCTCGAGTTCTATTGCTTCCACCTGATCCCAATAATAGTCATCGACAGCTTCTTCCGCGTCGCTCATGACCATGTCTTCATTACTTCCCAACCTCTCATCCTTGCCGAGTAGAGTCCCAAGCAATCCCCACAATCCTGGTGCATTAGACTTCATTGTCTGTGCGGTCTCCTCAATACTGAACTCTTTGAGTTGTTGCATGTTTGCGCTCGATGCCCCAAAGTGCGAACCATTTTCTTTGGAAGCCATGGTGCGCACTTCACGGACATATACCCCTTGTATGAGTTGGGTCACTGTGTGTGCTGAGTTATATAGTCTCGAAGGATGCTTGATAATTGCACTGATCAAGTCTTCTGAATGTACAAGGAGTTCATGGACATGTGGATGGTTGTTGAGCTCCTGGCGAGTGAGTAGCATTGAGAAGAATTGAAAAGGCTTGATTCCAGCATCTTCAAATGTAGTCAATAGGTATTGAAATGAATGTTCCATTGTACGACTGTTGACATCAACTGTGACATTAATGTGCTACTGTTCCGGACTCAATTGTAGCACAAATTTTCTAACATAAAAATACCTGCGTCTTTCTAACCCTAAGTTCATTCTACATGAATAAATTTCACGTTCCGCTGGTTCAGCCACTGTGGCTGATGTTGTTTACAAATGTTATCTTCCAGCCACTGCTGAGAGTGTGAGGGGAGTAAGGTTATGCTGGGTTTGAAATTTTGTTGTATCATGTGACCTCGGATGTAGCCCCTCCACACTCGAAGTTGGGAAGGAGCCTGCTCCTGCAGGTATTCTGTTGAAAGATATTATGTCATCAAGCTCTAGATTATTCTACTCCACAATGACATCATCCATGATGTCATTTCCTTCTAGAATATTCTGCTCCACAATGACTCACTCATGGAAGGTTCTGGAATCTTTTGCTCTACAATGATGTCATTACTCCACATTCCAGAATGTTCTGCTCCACAATGATGTCATAGCTCCATCTTTCACTTGTATTTTATTCTTTTATTGGGTTTGACCCAATATTTTGATTGGCCCTCCTTATTTTTTATTGTTTGTGAACCTAGGTTACTTTCCCACACAAAATGTATATAAGGAGAGCCCATTCTTCCCCCCCAAAAAAATATGATCTCTCATTTGTAGCTATCTGCCTATCAGATATTTCACTTGCAAAGTTAGTCCCTTTGAAGTGAGACAAGTGCAGGGAAAAGAATTCCCTTGAGATTATAAGTTTCTTACCTTAGAAACTTATTTAGTGCTATAGACCAAGTGTTCTTGGTCACATATATTGTCTTTGAGACCCCTTTGTCTCATTGCTCTGTGCCCTTTGACTAAGCAATCTTAGTCATCTATTATATAGTTGAGACCACGTCTCACTAGTTGTCCCATAGACCAAGTGATCTTGAATATATATATAGTATACTTGAGACCATTATCTCATAGTTCCAGTGCCCATAGACCAAGCAATCTTGGTCATATTTTGTATATTTGAGACCACATCTCACTAGTCCCAGTAACCCAGTCTGTTACGACTTGGATGGTATCTGTTGGCGACGCTCAAACAGAGCGTGTGTCGTCAACGGTCAAGGACGTCCTTGGGCTAGCCCAAGGTTAGGGGTCGTACTTGGCGACGCATCGGCAAGTAAGATTTGACGCCTATGTCCAAATCGGGTAGCTTACGTCAAGTGGATGCTAGACGATGAGCTGTATCTGCCAAGGCTTACGACACCCGAAGGTTAATCGTAAGATCATCGTTAATTAGAAGGACAGAAGTCTGACTAGTTAACAGGGGCTTTGCTTGTCGACGAAGTCGATGAGCAAAGATCAAGACTATAGGCTTATCCGCGAAGAGCAGATAAGAAGATAGAATATAGACTGCTGGCAAGGCAGAAAGGATCACTCTGGTGAGAGTAGGAGGTCAAGAACCAAGTAGATTCAAGTTAGGGAATACAGTACATGGTAGCGAGTTTATATAGGGGACAGGAGACGTATTAATGGGTGATAACTCGTACTACCAAGAGAGGCAATCGGTAAAGGGATATAACCATAAAAGGAAGGCACGTTCACATTGAGACATGGGCGAGGTAGAACGTGCTGATAAGAAAGTGAGTCAAAGATCGGGATAAGAAGTGAAACACACAGGGGCACGATCGTGCAGCTGCGGAGCTAAGTAAAGGTCGCATGTGCGACTGCGCATCAAGTCAGAGATCAAGAAAGGAAACAGGGCAAAGGGGATGCGTCGTGCATCATATCATAGGTTACCGTCCAGACGGTAAGGGCAAGGGGACTGTCCACAGGATCAGTCAGGTGGTGGAACGGAGCATGGGTATGCTTCGTCAGCGAAAGGATCCGGCCAGATGTACTGGCTCTGCTGAAGCGACAGGTAGAGAGCGAAAGGGAATGCGAGAATGACAAGGATGACCAGGGTAAGGTCGGGGTGAGGGTATGATGCAAGGGCTGATACGAGGAGGATGAGGAGAAAAATGGTAGGGGCCCAAGCGTCTAGATGTTCTTGTAACACAGTCCAGAGCCTAGAAGGAGATTTCCTAGGCAAATACATTCCAGAAACCGAATTACATGTCTAGAAGCTTATTCCTAGACAAGAGATTTGAGTTTCAATAAAGAAAAGTAAAGCTCCAGCTAGGTTGATCTTTATAAAAAGATTAGTTTAGCGAGCCTCCCAAGAACTCACACATTATCTACCACGAAATAGGAAAAGTCGTAGACTGTGTTAATCGAGGACTGGCAAGAAGTCTTATCCAAAGTGTAATTGTGGTGTCATTATATTTACATGACTTTATATAAGACCCTCGGTTATTAAGACACATTTATTATTCTATTTATTATTCTTTTTATAATAATTTTAATAATATTGTGCCGGCTTTAAATTCGGCCATTTGGACCATCGAGTACCAAGTTCCAAATATCGAGTTCCGAGTAACGAGTCCCAACTATCATGTACCAAGTCCCAACTATTGAATTCTGAGTACTGAGTCCCGACTATCATGTACCAAGTCCCAACTATCATGTACTGAGTCCTGACTATCGAGTACCGAGTTCCAAATATTGAGTTCCAAGTACCAAGTCCTGACTATCGAGTACTGAGTTCCAACTATCAAGTTCCAAGTACCAAGTCTCAACTATCATGTACCGAGTCCTGACTATCAAGTACCGAGTCCCGACTATCGAGTTCTGAGTTCTGACTATCATGTACCGAGTCCCAACTATCATGTACCAAGTCCTGACTATCAAGTACTGAGTCCCATCTATCATGTACCGAGTCCTGGCTATTCAGTACCAAGTCCCAACTGTCGAGTACCAAGTTCCAAATATCAAGTTCCGAGTACCATCAGTGTCTAGGTTAGGAGAAGGTATCGCCGGGTCTCCTCCTGTCTTCTCTGCATTGAATTTCTGTGCAGTATATTATTGGAGTGAGAGCTAAGTAGAACGAGCCTCAGTCTATGGTGAAAGAGACTAAGATTCCTATGTACGGACCTAAGTAGAACGAGCCTATAGGTGTGCTAATCAGTATGGTAATAACATGGGTAAAAGAGCATACACACCTCAGTCTATGGTGAAAGAGACTGAGGTGCGTCGCAGGCGCCTATTGGCCTTAAGTATTGAGGAAAATGAAGGAAAGGAAAAATAAGGGTAACTAAGTAAGTGACAGTTCATGACAGAGGGGGAGATGTGATATAAGAATGAGACCGGAACAGATGCTCTGACAGAACTGACGGATCACCTTCCAACACTCCCACTCGTCGGAGCATCCAGCATACTCTGACGACGCAGACCCATCCCTTCGCAATGTTGTACTCCTGCAGGGCGAGGCAATGCCTTGGTCAGGCTGTCAGCAATCATTTCCGATGTGGACTTGTATTGCAGTTCAATCTTCTTCAAGTCGACGAGGCTGAGGATAAGATGATAGTGGACGCAAATATGTTTCGCTCACTCGTGGAACTTCAGATTCTTCAAGAGAGCAATGCTGGCTTGGTTGTCTCCGTATAACAGCGCAGGGTCGTATAGATCAGGGTTGAGTCGGAAGTCATGCAGGAGTTGGATGAGGTACAGCGCCTCACGGGAAGCATTCAATAGACCAATGTATTCAGCTTCCGTGGTAGATGTGGCAACGACCAATTGTTTCTGAGACTTCCAGCTGATGGGCCCACCGAAGAGTTGGTAGACGTAGGCACTAGTGGATTTACTGTCGTCACGATCTGCAGCGTAGTCCGAGTCTGAATGACTGATGAGTCCCTCGTTTGATGAGCCGAAGACCAGCATTAAGTCTGTGGTCCCGCGAATGTATCGAAGGAGGTGTTTGAGCTGGCGGTGGTGGTCAATGCTGGGGTTCTCCATATAATGAGAGAGGCATGATACGGAGTAGGCAATGTCAGGGTGTGTCGTTCGCATGGCATAGTTGAGCTCGCCGATTGTTCGACGATATGGGATGGACACAATGGCAGCTGCTTCCTCTTCGGCTGGGGCTCATGTAGCCTTCTGCAAGACAACACCTGGCATCATAGGTGTGCTGACGGGGTTGCACATCATCATGCCGGCGTTCTCGAGGATCCTCTCAAGGTAAGCCTTCTGGCTGATGGTGAGGAGTCGTTTCTCCCGGTCGCGCGTGATATGCATGCCAAGGAAGTGGCGAGCGGGGCCAAGATCTGATAAGTCGAAACATTGTTTGAGCTGCGCCTTGAATTTGTCCAGGTAGTCGCGAGAGTTTGACACTGTGAGCATGTCGTCGACATAGACAACTAACCATATGACCTTGTCCCCCTCGTGGAGGACATATAGACTGTGGTCGGCCTCGCTCCTGATGAATCTGAACCCCTCTTTCCGCAGGTACTCATCCAACGTCTGATTCCACTCATATCCCACCTGCTTCAACCCATAAATCACTTTCTCCAGCTTCCATACCCAGTCTGGGTGTTCAGGGTCTTCAAAATCGGCTGGTTGCTTGAGGTAGATGTCTTCTTTGAGGTCAGCATTGAGGAAAGCGGTGTGAACGTCCATCTGGTCAAGTTTGAGGTCGAATTTGGCCGCAAGGGCAAGAAGAATACGGACTGTGTCATACTTGGCAACAGCCGCAAATGTTTCTGTATAATCGACCCCTTCGACTTGAGTATATCCCTGCGCGACAAAATGTGCCTTGTGACAGGTGATGTTGCCTTCTTTGTCAGTCTTTACCGTGAATACCCATCTCGAGCCCACCGCTTTGCGTCCTTCTGGGAGTGGCATGAGTGTGTGCGTTTTGAGGTCCCGCATTGACTGAAGTTCAGATTTGCAGGCGTCTAACCATTGTTCCCACTCTGGTGAAGAACGCGCCTTGTCGATAGTGTTTGGTATGGCTATGCTGGGGCGCTTGGGGGGTTCTGCGGTTGAATGCATCGCAGTCTCGGTTTCGGCGTTGTGGTGTTGGCCGTCTGCATCACCATGTGTGTCTGCTTCTGGGACATCTGGGACGTAAGTCCAGTGTTCAGCGACTGGTATTCTCCTGGTGGGTATTGCTGTGGAGGTGGTGCCAGTTGGCGCACGACGTGGGCGAGAGCTGCGGCATAGGTCTGCTGGATGAGGAGGGTCTGCTGGACGAGGAGGCTGAGGTGGCATTGGGATGGCATCTGCTGATGGTGCTGGTGGGTCATTGCCCTCTTCTCCCACTGACACCTGCGGGGGCAGAGCATTAGCAGGGGTTGATGCTGGTGGCTCACCAGCTGGTGGGAGGGCAGCTCCCACTGATGAAGGGACTCCCACTGACGAAAGGACACCAGGGGGAGGATCAATGAGCGGGGCAAGAGGAGACGGAGACGGGTCCGCATAGAAGACATGTTCATCAAAATGAACATGGCGGGAGCGGATGGTGCACCTGGCAGAAGGGTCCCAGAGGATGTACCCAGCATGCCGAACATGACCAAGGAGGAAGCAGTGCCGAGAGACATAGTCATACTTGCGATGTGTATCTTCTGGGATGTGGGCATACGCAAGGCAACCGAAAGGACGGAGGTAGCTCACATCTGGCTTGCGACCATAGAAGGCTTCAAAGGGAGTGCGGCCACCGAGTGAGGAGGAAGGGAGGACATTTTTGACATGCACCGAGTTGAGGATGGCCCAACCCCAGAACGAGTGTGGGAACCCGCTCTGGTGATGGGAGCTTAGCGCACGCGTGACAACCGTCTGGTGGCCACATTCTGCCACACCGTTCTGTTGAGGTGTATAGGGCATGGTGGTCTCATGTTCGATGCCATGCTCTGCGAGATACTGGAGGAAGGGTGTTGAGATGTACTCACCACCATTATCACTATGCAGGCGTCGGACACGGCCGCCAGACTGGGCCTCAATCCATGGCAGGAAGTGTTTGAAGTGGGTAAATACTTCGGACTTAGCACGCATGAGATATACCACGGAGTACCTTGTAAAGTCGTCAGTGAAGACCACAAAGTAGTAGTCCCCAGTGAAGGAAACAGTGTTGACAGGCCCCCACACGTCAGAGTGAATGAGCTCTGCAGTAGCCTGCGTGCGGCGTGCAACGCTGGGGAAAGGAAGGTGCCTATGCTTGCCCATGACACAGGAAATGCAGTGAATGGAGTCTGCGCCATCCGAGTCGCCGTTCAGCAACGTTGTGTCGACATTCATACCACTGACATGCCCAATAGCCTTCACAATAGTTGAGAATCCAGCGTGACACAGACGGCGATGCCAGGTATGGAGTGAGGAGGGCGCGTTAGAGCTAGACAACATTGCCCGCATGGGAGCGGGCACGACTGGCGCGCAGTAGGTAGCGTCGAGCAAGTATAGACCACCCTTAGGGTGCACATGAGCGAGGAATGGGCCGTCTCCATCGTGTGAGCGCAGTGTCCCACCCTTAGAGGTCGTGGTGAAGGAGATATGAGCAGATGCGAGATTGGACACAGAGATGAGTGTACAATGCAAGTCAGGGATGTGCAAGAACTCAAAGTCGTGCTCGGTCAGCGATGTACCATAACGTAGGGCAAGTCTCACTTTACCCCACCCTGGGGCCAGTACCACATGTTCATCAGCCAGCATCACACGAATGGGTTCACGCAGTTTGGTATAGTGGGAAAAGCATGAAATTTCAGGCTCCATGTGAGCAGTCGAGGCAGAGTCTACATGGAACATCCCATCTGGCAGGTCAAGAGTAGACGAAATGCTGGCAGAGTGATCTTTTAGGGTAAGGAGGAATGGAGAAGTTGTGATGGATTCGTCAGGTTGGCCTGGTAGTGGGGATTCCGTGTTAGCGGCGACAGCAGTAGGTGATGAATTCGGTGCTGACTTCTTCTCATCCTTAGCGAGGCATGCACGACATTGCACCCAAACATGTCCAGCTTTCTGACAGTGACCACACTTGGGTCTCCATCCAACGATCCACCCATCCCCTTTCGACTCATCGAAGCCCTTTGGAGGGACGCGATCACCGGTCTTGGGAAGTGCATTGGTGTTATGATGGCCCAAGAGCATGGCAACATGCTCCGACGTGTTATTGGTTCCAGCACGGTGGAGTTCCTGTGTCTTCAACCTATTCACAGTGTCATTGAAGTCCAGTGATGTGTCACTATTGATGAGTGTTTGACGAAGAGAGTCGTAATAGTCAGGGAGGGCTCTGAGTAGGATATGCACGAAGATGGCATCTGGAATCTTGAACTCCTCCTTCTTAGTGCTGGTGGACGTCATAGGACTGGTAGTAGAGCTCGTAGCGGGAATAGACATTGATGCCGATGCAACTGACAATGCTGCAAGGTCCGCCTTGAGAACAATGAGTATCTGCAGCGTTTCCGCAATGGACGCGCTGTCATGCGCTTTCGGGAGGGTGAATAGGCGATAAAGGTATTGGTTAAAACGAATGGCTTTCTGGGGAAGGTACTTCTTCTCCAGGGCGATCCAAGCAACGTGCGGGTCGTCAATGTCACGCAGATAGACAAAGTCCTGTGCGTCAATAGCCGTGGAGAGGGCACTGAGGGCAAGGAGTCGACGCTGTTTGTAGAGCTTCACCCACTCGTCGTGCTTTTCCTTGCAAAGGATGTTTTGGTCAGCATCTGTGAGTGGAGCTGGTGGCGATGGTTCTAGTTCGTCTCCACTAATGTATGACCATAAGCCGATACCACTGGCCCACATCTTAAATCCTGTAGCCCATTGGGAATAGTTGGATCCATTGAGGGTGAGCTTCTCGTGCGGATATTTCTCCGTCTTCGGGAGAGAATCGGAGGAAAACATGGTATGATAAGAAGTGCCGAGGAGAGAGTCGACGAGAGTGTAGTCCAGAAAACAGGACGTCTGGTAAGAGAATGCTGTCCTTTAGACAGGGCTCATAACCTATTGGAGTGAGAGCTAAGTAGAACGAGCCTCAGTCTATGGTGAAAGAGACTAAGATTCCTATGTACGGACCTAAGTAGAACGAGCCTATAGGTGTGCTAATCAGTATGGTAATAACATGGGTAAAAGAGCATACACACCTCAGTCTATGGTGAAAGAGACTGAGGTGCGTCGCAGGCGCCTATTGGCCTTAAGTATTGAGGAAAATGAAGGAAAGGAAAAATAAGGGTAACTAAGTAAGTGACAGTTCATGACAGAGGGGGAGATGTGATATAAGAATGAGACCGGAACAGATGCTCTGACGGAACTGATGGATCACCTTCCAACATATATTCACATGCCTTGTGAGTGACTGTCAGGGCCCAAGTGCACCAGAGGCTTATTTCAATTGCAGAAGTGGAAGAACCATTCATGATGAAGTCGATCTTGGGAAATCAGAAGCTGAATGCTGGACACCCAGAGGTTGGTGTTAAAGGGGGTGGAGATAGTCAGGATCAGATAAGGGAGCCAAAATACCAGATCATTGGAAGTGTGCTGGATATCAGATATTTGTTTGTCAACTCCCGGAGCTCGTATCTCGGCACGCTTCACTCAAATTTCAGTAGTAGGAACTTGGCATTTGGCATTTGGCATTTGGTAGGTGGTGATGATGAGGTTCTGATAAGAGAACCTTCCATGATGTTGGCTGTCAAAGATATATTACCATCCGTTGCTCAATGAAATACCAGATGATTGGAAGTGTGCTGGATATCAGATATTCATTTATTGACACCTGGGTCTCGGAACTCGGTATGCTTCACTCAAATTTCGGTAGTCGGAACCTTGCTTCTCGTATGGCAATGCAACAAGAATGAACCTGCAGCTGCAGGAACTCATTACGCTTCACCCGAATTAGCTACTCGGCAATCTGTACTGCATTGTTTTACAATTATCATTCACCTGTGCCCACCTGTCTATATTATATACTGCCCTCTGCCCACCCATCTAATATAATATATCTCTGGGCCCACCCATGTATATGATAACAAGTACCCTCGGCCGGCCCACCCGTCTATCTGATACCCACCTACCTTGACACTCGGCCCACCGATCTAAGATAATATATATCTGGGCCCACCTGTGTATGTGACACCATGTACCCTCGGCCGGCCCACCCGTCTAATATAGTATATATCTGAGCCCACTCATGTATGTGATGACAAGTACCCTTGGCATACCCATCTATCTGATACCCACCTACCTTGGTACACCCATCTACATAATATCCAACTACCTCAGCCCATCCGTCTATAGAATATTCATGTCCATCAGCCCACTCATCTACTCTACATATTCCACACATGGGCCCACCCGCCTCCATCGGAAATAATATCCCTCCTGGCCCATCCGTCAACATCGAGGATATACATCACATCGGCCCATCATCCACTGGCCCGTCTTATACGGGATATTATGTAGGTCGGGTGACCCATATAATACGGAAAAATGTCACTGTAATATGTGTGTTTTTTCTGTACCTATACAAAGTCAGTCTATTAAGATATGTCAAGTATTATATGCAACTCACCTTCACTACAACAATGCAGATCTCATTATTGTCCTGTCCATGGTGTGTCTTGTTTAAGGTCCAAATGTGTTCTACATAAATGTCTTGTAGACACCTTAAGTAAGAATGTCAGC